GAGTTTCGTAAAATTGTCAAGATAAAAAATCGATGGACAACCATTAGCAGGAGGGATATGTATGTAGCGTCTATAGTAAAGTTTCCTCTGATATAACTCTTAATATAGACTTCTCAAAGTATGCCTAATTTCCTCAGTTTTATCGTTATATAAGGCAAAATTCTTTGCCAAAATCATCCACTATTAGCTTTCGCTCATTTCCAGTTATTCAAAGTTATATTATTTGCACTTATTTTGCACGTAGCCCTAACCCAGACTTTGTGCATATTACCGTATATTGTCCCAATTAGTCTATCGAAAATAGTTTGTATGCATACATGTCCATATATCCCTAAATTTGCTGTACTAGTGCAATCAATAGATGTGAGAAAATCTGGGGAGAAGCTAATGAGCACTGCCTTATTTGGCCCTAAAATTTGATATGGATTAGGCTGAAGCTTGTTGTCTGTAATACCACACTCTTTCGATGCATCCTGATATCTAAGTATTCTGTTTTGTATTTTTATCTTTTTTTAAGTACAACAAATCTATAGAAAACAGCTCTATCATATATCAAAAATCAATGTTTAAACATCTTCTGAATGTCAAACATTTTTGAACGCTCCACATTGCACATATGTCGGAGTGCATACTCATGAATATGCAGGCAGTCCATCATCTTAAACTTCGATAAGCTGACTCCTAGTTTCTCTTCTCGTTTAGCGATGGAAGATTTTCTTAATACTTGTCTAAGGCACTACTCAGAGTTTTCTCTCGCTTTCATGACCATGAAACGAGCTAAAAATGCAGAGAGGAATCAAAAAAGGTGATGAGTCTTCTAACATTCCTTTATTTATCAAACTTTCAAAGATAGCACCCTTCTGTACGATGATTTTCTAATGCTGAAATTTAGCACAGTAGGTGCATTTCATTCGTTCTACAACATTTTTGAAATGCGATATAGTCCCATAACTAATAATCTAAGAAAGTAGATACCACAAGACTCTTTCGTCAAAAAGCAGAACGTGGTTCCCTATGACAAGTCATAAAACCATTGCGATACGAACAAATCCCCAGATTAAAGGGGTTACACCGCAGGCTGCCGTTCATCTATGGGTGTTCAACTCTGACAACATATTCTTCATTGAAGCTTATGAGAGTAAATGTAGGATAGTTGGCTTTTGATGATAGTGTTTTTCGTGCTGTTTTGAATATGGTCTATATCAGTTATTAGAACTTCTTAGGTTCTGTTAAGCCAATAAAAGTTTATTTGAGACTACTTCTTTGTTGGAATTCCGAAAAAGAGA